TGGGCCTGGCAGCAGAGCAGGAGTGGGACGGGGTGGGGGCTTCGGTGAAGGGGTGGGGGTGGAGCGGGGTTGGGAAGAGGTGGGGCAGGGGTGGGGGTTTGGGAGAAGGGGCGGACCAGGGGCAGGAAGAGGCAAGGCTGGGGCTGGGGGCAGAGGAGGGGTGTGAAGAGGCGGGGGACGGGGCTGGGGGGGCAGAGCGGGGGGGCCTGGAGTGGAGCAGGGGTGGGAAGAGGCAGGGGATGGAGGTGAGAGCTTGGGGGAACAGGTGGGGCGGGCCTGGGGGCAGAGCAGGGGTGGGGGTTTGGGGGCAGGAGAGAGGCATTGCACGCCTCCGGGGCCTGTGTAGCTCCCCCCCCGTGCCCCGCTCTCCAGCCCACGCCAGGGCACCCAGTGTGGACGCTCCGGCGCCGTGTGGACATGCACCAGCCGTGCCATGGGACCGGCTTTGCATCTCGCCGGCTGCACGCGTGTGTGGACAAAACCCCGTGGGGCAGAGGCCGCGCCGGAGCTCAGGGCTCCCCGGTCTGCTGCAGCGGAGCCAGCCCCTGGAGAGCGCCCCTGGGTGGCGGCAGCAGCTGTGGGGCTGGCAAAGGTGGGGGGGCAGCCCCCGCCGGAGCCAGTGCTGACGTGCTCCGCCCCAGCCAGCTCTGCAGCCCGGGTGGGGTTTGCAGGGCACAGGAAGGGGCTGGAACAGCTGGGAGCGGTGGGTGCCGGGAGGAAGGAGGCAGGAGCCGGGAGAACAAAGCCCGGAGAACATCAGACACGGGGGCGAGTCTGTGCTGGGGCGGGGGGGAGCTCGGCATTAACCCCTCCCTGCCCGGCCGCGGGGGGGGGAAACAAGCCCCCCCGGACTCTGCCCGCATCCACTCCGGAGCCAGGTAATGGACAGAGCCCGTGGGAACGTGCGGGGGGGGGGGCAGGAAAGTGACTCTCTGCCCAAGGGAACCTGGGGGCATTAAATCTCCCAGCCCCCACCCCCCCCCGGAATCGGCCCCCTTGCTGTTAATGCACCCGTGGGCAGGACCGGAGCTGCATTAAAGCAGGTGCCCAGGGCAGGATCTGCTCCTGGTGGGGAACGAGGTCCCCTAGTTCTCAAATATCAATGTAACGTCTCAAATGTGTTGTTTTTGTCCCCTCCACCTTCTCAATATGCGGCTCATGGACCTGGCTTAGGCGGGAGACTCTTGCCCTGAGTCATTCCCCGAAGGAGAAGGGGATTAGTTGGGTGCAGCTTGCGGCTGGCTCTGGGGTGGAGACAAAGGGGTGATTTTCTGCCAGCAACAGGGCATGGAAGGGGCACAGGAGGGGAAGGGGGGAGCAAGGGTCCCCCATGTGCCCAGCCCCAGGTGACCCAGTCACAGCTGCTGTATTCTCACCTGCCCCAAACAACTCCCCCCCTCGCCTCCCTCCCGCTGCCAGTCACCCTCTGCGGCCCCATCCCTGCTCTCACGTAGCCCTTCCTGCGCCAAGCCCTCTGCTTGCCCTCTCACAGCAGCTTTTCAAAGGGCACCTTGCTGCCCATGGGGGGTGAGGGATCCAGGACTGTTTATTGAACATTCATCGTAAAATCCCTTCCAATGAGCGCACTTCTCCCCTCCACTCTTTCTTTAATTTGGATATAAAATCCCCTCCCATCTCGGTGTTTTTCCCTCTCGTATCATCAGCATTTTATTAAAATACATCCCAATTTTTGACCTGTTTTGTCTGCATCCCAATTTTTGACCTGTTTTGTCTGCACATCTCAAAGAGCGCTCTAAAATGCCCTAAAAACGTGCCCTTATTTCTCTTAGTACTTTAAGATGCTGACACTTTTCCATCTCTAACTACACCTCTACCCCGATATAACGCTGTCCTCGGGAGCCAAAAAATCTTACCGCGTTATAGGTGAAACTGCGTTATATCGAACTTGCTTTGAGCCACCGGAGTGCGCAGCCCCGCCCCCCCGGAGCGCTGCTTTACCGCGTTATATCCGAATTCGCGTTCTATCGGGATAGAGGTGTATAAAATAGGAACATAAAATCTCAGCTTTCCCCTTCACGTTCTTTAATCTGGACCTAAAGTCCTTGCAACTGCGGCCCCTTTCCCGTGATCAAGTACGGATATGAAATTCACGCAGATTTTACCTCGTTAGCTATTAACTGTTCCTGTAAGCGCTCATACGGTTTGCCACTTTCGTTTCATGTGTGAAAAGTGACCTGTGGTTCAGATTTCCACCCTTTTCTCTTCCATTACAGAACACGCATCTGAAATCTCAGGGTTTGCCTCATTCCACCTAATTCCCAGCTGTCACTTAAAAATCCTCAGGTGTGGAGGTGGTTAATGGTGACAACATCACTTTTTCGGAAGGAACCTGTTGCCCCGAGACGGTCTCCAGATTCGGGGGGTTAAATTGTCCCCTGATCAACTTGCTTCTCGTTTGAGAACCGTTTAAATGGTCGGTGAAATAGACTTGCCCCCTATTTAATAGGCATTACAGCCAGAGGCCTGCCCTTCTTGGTAGGGGGATCAGTGTCTGCCAGCTGCTAAGCAGACAGTCGGCTGGACTCTTTGCTTTTCCCCAGATGGCACAATCCGAGGCGTTCTCGCCTCAGTGGGCTGCCCTGTGTGGAACTGGTACCTTGCAGTGCCCGAGCATCTCCATGTTACCGTCACGTTCTCCTCACCATTTTCACCGGACGTACCCCCACCCTCCATGTGATGAACGGTCTCCCATCAGGGGTTCCTTTCCCCAACACCGAGATGCAGCCGCTTCTGGGGTGGGTGCCTGGTGGCCATTACTGGCCAGTGACGGGCATGGAAATGCCGTAAATATTTTTTGGTTCCTCCATTCTCCTGTTCACGCAGCATCCTCCCTCTGCCTGTGTGACTGGCCAGCAACGGGTGGGGATAACTTTCTATCCACTTACAAAGTCGGATATGAAATCAACACCGGTTTTGCTTCTCTTCCCCCTTCAAAACTGTAAGAACGTCACGTGTTTGGAAGGCAAATGGGTGCCTGGAGTCCTTATCCTAGATATCAGGGGGGAGGTGGGAAGAGGGTCGTCCCCCTCCCCCCGACATGGAAGTGTTTAAAGGATTCTGACGTCATCCCTCCACATTTCTGGTCTCATCTACGGCGTCTCTCCCTCTGGGTCTGCAGCCCCTTTCTCGCGTCACGGGCGGCTGCTGCTGCTTCATGACTCCGCCCCCTGGCCGGGCGCAGACTTTCCCCAGCAGCCCTCTCTGTTGCCTGTTTCCTGGCTTTATAGCCCCAAGCCAGCTCTTCCCCCTCACTCAGGCCCTTGGCCAGCCGATTCCTCTGAGCTGCGGCCTGTTGGGTGAATTAGCCCCCGCCCAGGCTACATTAACCCACGTACATTGGCGGGATGCAGACGAACCTTCGGACCTGTGTTAATCCAGAGGTGCTGCTAGAAAGGACAAGTTGTGACTCCAGATTAACACGGGATAAATGAGATCAGCAGCTGTCCCTGTGCGGAGGTGGTTTCATTAGCTGCTCCCAGAGAGCTAAAGGAGGGAAGCTGCTCAAACGCTCTGTCCCCCTATGCTCAGAATATTGAGGTTCGGCTTCTTGGGTCAGACACTGCAGCCTCCGTTGTGATCTGGGAGACCCGGCTTAGCAGCTGCTGCTCCCCCAGGGAGGTCTCTGCTAAGCAGAGCGAGGCCTTCACTAAAGCTCCCTCTGGGCCAGCCAAGGGGAGGACGTTCTCCAGCCCATTGCAACTAAATCGTGAGCCAGAAAGACCTCAGGGAAGGTGCTGGGTCTGGGCACGAAAGTGACTCTGCTCCCCCAGCCCCTTGTCTCTCCTCCCATTAGCGATTGCAGGAGACGATCCGGCCACGGGAGAGCCACCGACTCCCAAATGGGACTTTCCCAGCCAGAGGGGGAGAGACTGAAGGGGGGGGTCGGAGAAATAAGTGGGGGGAGTGGTTGGCCGGTCTGTGGCCTGCCCAGACACACTTCTTGCCGCATCCCTGGGCGGATTCGCCTTCTGTGAACAAGGTGAGGAGCAGAGAGAGAGAGGAAAAGCCAGTTCCTGGTTCTCCCTGGGGACCGTGTCCGGGGGAATCCCCCCCCCCCATGTGACTTCTGCACTTTTCTAACGGTTGGTTCAGAGACTCGGTCACGGGTTAAAAACCTCTGGGTGGGAGAGGCCAGGTCCGCACCGTAACAAAGCGACCACGTGTTTTCTCAGCCTGGAATCGGCGAAACGGCAGGGTGGGAGGGGCCATGGGTGTCCCAGAGCCAGCTGAGGTCAGGATTATCAGGGGATTGCTGGCGGGTTCCTGCTGGGGGAAGAAGGGCAGTAAATACATAGGACGACGCAGCTTCTGGAGATGGGAGGGGGCAGGAAATGCCCAGGGTGGAGAAAGGGAGAGGAACAAGGTGCGAGAAACCATCTGGGACTTGTTTAAATTGGGGCCTAGCTTCTAGGAAAGGCTTCGCGGGCTCTGGGATTAATATTCCCTAATTTGTGGAACAGGAAACAGGACCCCTGGACTGGGTAGAGAAAATGGCCCAGACCCCCAGTGCTGGAGGCTGACCCGACTAACCAGCAGCTGCGGTGAGATATAAAGGGGGCACCCACCAGTGAGGCTAAGGGGAGATGCCCCCATCCCCTCACATCCAGCTGCTGGCAGTGGAATTCGTACCAGGGGGCTCTCCGTGGACTCTGCTGGGGGCTCTAAACCACTGTAGGAGGCTAGTGAGTTTGTGAGGAATATGAAGACACGGCCCCTGTTTATCTGCTGGGGGAGACCAGGGGCTCTCTCTTTCTCCCCACACCTGATCTCCGCAGAGTGGGGGTGGGACTCTGACTGCGATCCACCCAGAGCTTCCATTTGATTGGTTTCTTTCCCCCATGAATAGTGGGGCAGCAGGTACTGAGTGTGGGACTCTTGCTCTTTCAGGGGCCGGTGACCTTCGAGGAGGTGGCTGTGTATTTCACCAGGGAAGAGGGGGCTCTGCTGGACCCCGTTCAGAGAGCCTTCTGCAGAGCCGTTATGCAGGAGAACTATGAGAATGTGACCTCGCTGGGTAAGGATCCCCGTCCCCTCGGTTCTTAGAAGGGGAAATGAAAAGTTAAGGTTCGCAACACCCCACAATGTAACATTAACTCTGCCCTGTTTCAGCAACATGCCAGTGACCCGCACTCTAACGCTCTGCCCGCCCCTGCTACAGAGCACACTGGGAACAGAGCACAAGTGCGGTACAGCGCGACGTCTAACAGCTTCTCTTTGCTAAGGCAAAACTTAGGGTTAGGTCCAGTGTAGTGAATAGAAACTTCCCACCCCTGGCCTGCACTCAGACACTGAGTCTGCTGCACACAGTCCATCACAGACTTTCAACATGTTACTAAACCCGTCACCCTTTGGATATTAGGAAAACTTTTTCACTAGGAGGGTGGTGAAGCACTGGAATGGGTTCCCTAGGGAGGTGGTGGAATCTCCTTCCTTAGAGGTTTTTAAGGTCAGGCTTGACAAAGCCCTGGCTGGGATGATTTCGTTGGGGTTGGTCCTGCTTTGAGCAGGGGGGTTGGACTAGATGACCTCCTGAGGTCTCTTCCAACCCTGATCTTCTATGAATGCCTCCACTTACCCCTCAAGACCACCAGCATGTCTGCCACCAGAGCGCTGACAATCCCCCTGGCAGGAACTCCCCCTTGTGTATCTTCACTGGCACGGCCTATAACGTTGAAATGAGGTTCCCATGCACCTCCCTTTGTATCACAGCCACAGCTCTGCCAAGCTGCTCCAACTAATCCCTCCACCATCCAGTTACAGCTGACCCAGTGCACACAGCTGCAGGGCATGCGGATAAATGCTGGGATTCCCATCTGTGAACACAACACAAACAATGGCACCTTCTCTTAGTCCTTCCTCCTATTCATGATAGATTCATGGCATTTAAAGCCGGAAGGGACTAGGTCATATCGTCTGGTCTCCTGTACAACACAGGCATAGAATTTCATCCAGTTACGGCTGCATTCAGCTGAATACCTTGTGTATGACTAAATCCTACTGAAAGGCTTCAGTCGCTGGAGAAGCCACCTCTTCTTCCCTGGTAGTTTGTTAACCTTTGCACTACCCTTCCTGAACTCTTCTGAGTGGTTCTTGCCAGCTGCAGTGCTAGCGGGGGGGGGGGGGGGGGCGAGTTAAGGTGACGTGGCGTACTTTTCATCTCCTGGTTTTCAGAGGTTTTTTGTTCAGACCCCAGTTGTCGGCGGGCAGGATCGAACCGGGGAACCTCTGGAGCTTAGGGCATGAGCTGAAAGCCGACTGGCCGTTAAGCAAACTCCTTAATCTCTCTTGTTAATTGGTATCGGCATGAGGGTGGGACCATCTGCTGACAGGAGACCGTGTGAGGTTCCTCTCCAGGATTCCTTGGGAGAAGGGAAGGCAGGAAGCAGTGGGAGGGAAGAAGATGATGGGGAGCTGGTGTTCATGGGGTGCCACATAACAGGGAGAGGTCTTAAGTACCAAGGGCTCTTAAGCAAAGTAAGCTGTCATGGGATAAGAGGGAAGGTTCTCTCATGGATCGGTAACTGGTTAAAAGAGAGGAAACAAAGGGTAGGAATAAACGGTCAGTTTTCAGACTGGAGAGAGGTAAATAGTGGTGTCCCCCAGGGATCTGTACTGGGACCAGTCCTGTTCAACATATTCATAAACAATCTGGAAAAAGGGCTAACAGTGAGGTGGCAAAATTTGATACAAAACTACTCCAGATAGTTATGTCCCAGGCAGACTGTGAAGAGCTCCAACAGGATCTTTCAAAACTGGGTGATTGGGCACCAAAATGGCAGATAAAATTCAATGTTGATAAAATGCAAAGTAACGCACATTCAAAAACATAATCCCAACTATACATATACAATGGTGGGGTGTAAATGAACTGTTACCACTCGAGAAAGAGATCTTGGAGTCATTGTGGATAGTTCTCTGAAATCGTCCACTCAAGGTGCAGCGGCAGTCAAAAAAGCGAACAGAATGTTGGGAATCATTAAGAAAGGGATAGATAATAAGACAGAAAATATCATGTTGCCTCTATATAAATCCATGGTACACCCACACCTTGAATACTGCATGCAGATGTGGACACCCGATCTCAAAAAAAGATATATTGGAATTGGAAAAGGTTCAGAAAAGGGCAACAAAAATGATTAGGGGTATGGAACGGTTTCTGTATGAGGAGAGATTAATAAAACTGGGACTTTTCAGCTTGGAAAAGAGGCGACTAAGGGGGGATATGATAAAGGTCTATAAAATCATGACTGGTGTAGAGAAAGTAAATAAGGAAGTGCTATTTACTCCTTCTCATAATACAAGAACTAGGAGTCAACCAATGAAATGAATAGGCAGCAGGTTTAAAACAAAAAAGGAAGTATTTCTTCACACAACGCACAGTCAACCTGTGGAACTCTTTGCCAGAGGATGTTGTGAAGGCCAAGACTATAACAGGGTTCAAAAAAGAGCTAGATAAATTCCTGGAGAATAGGTCCATCAATGGCTATTAGCCAGGATGGGCAGGGATGGTGTCCCTAGCCTCTGTTTGCCAGAAGCTGGGAATGAGTGACAGGGGATGGATCACTTGATGATCCCCTGCTCTGTTCATTCCCTCTGGGGCACCTGGCATCGGTCGTGGCTGGAAGGCAGGATACTGGGCTAGATGGACCTTTGGTCTGACCCAGTCTGGCCGTTCTTATGTTCTTATGAGGGCTGAGAGCAGTGAGAGGAAGGGGACACCTGTGTGGAAGAATAGGACTTAGAGGGAATCAGGGAGGGCTGGTTGAGGAAGAGGAGGGAGAGAGTCAGGGAGGAGAGCTCCTGGGGACAGGTAGAGGGGTTGGCTGCGGGAGAGTAAGACGGAGAATGGGGAAAAGGGGGTGGAGAGCCCAGCAGTGGGGTGGGAGATCTGGGTTACCTGGGAGTGGGAAGGGAAGGTTTCAGGGAGTCAGAGATTTGGAGCAGTCCCCTGAGGCTGCTATTGCCGAAGTCTCTAATGACCTCTCCCTCGGCAAAGCTCAGAGCCCGCACTCCATCCTCCTCCTCCTCCTCCTTGACCTGTCAGCCGCTTTTGACACCCCTGATCGTGCCTTTCATTTTGAAATCTTGTCTTTCCTTGTCCTCTCCTGGTTCACCTCCTACCTGTCTAATCACTTCTTCGGCGTGTCCTTCAGAGGATCCTCATCCCCACTCCAAATTTCCATGGGATTTCCCTGTCCCCTTCTCTTCCTCCTCTGCACCTGCTCTCTGGGTAATGTCTCCGCACACACACACATTCAACTACCGTCTCTGTGCCGGTGACTCACAGATCTGCCGCTTCTGCTCCAGAGCCATCTCCTTCTGTCCCAACGAAAACCTCAGCTTGTCTCTGACGTCTCCTCATGGATCTCTCGCCATCAGCTCAAGATCAACAGTGAAAATCATGGCTCTTAATATTCCCCCCAAGCCATCCCATCACTTCCTTTCTCTATCGCTTTCAGACACCACCACCATATCGCATGTCATCCAGGCCCATTTTTGATGCAGACCTCTCACTAGGTCTTCATATCTAGGCCATCTACATCTTGCATTTTCTTTCTGCATAATGTCCTCAAGATCTGGCCTCTCCTATCCATCCACACGGCTAAAAACTCTTATCCAAGCTCACATCATCTCCTCTCTGAATTATTGTAATGCCTTTTTTCTCTGGCCTGGACACATGCAACCTTGCCCTGCTTCGTATCCATTCAGAAGTAGACCTCCACAGAGCTACCTCGTTATCCTCAGACATGACCTCTGAAAGGTCCTGAGTGGGGGACCTGATAACAATCTTAGAGGCTGTTATAAAGAGGGTGGTGATCAATTATTCTCTATGTCCACTGAGGTCGGACCGAAGTAATTGGCTTCATCTGCAGCAACCAAGATTTAGTATGGGTATTAGGAAAAAAATTCTAACTAGGCAGATAATTAAGTACTGGAATAGGTTACCACGGGATTGTGGAATCCCAATTACTGGAGGTTTTTTTGGAATTGGTTAGACAAACACCGGTAATGGAGGGTCTCATGAGGTCTCTTCCCACACAACTTTTCTTTGGTTCATTATCCTACCCCTTCACTTTGCCTGTGGAGAATGTGGGAATTGAAGTGTAGTCTTATGGAAAAAAATATGCATAACTCCGCTTCCCTGTTCCAGAGAAAGAATGAATGGCTGTTTTGAAGTAAGATAGGCCTGTCTAGGTTGGCATGGAGACACTATCAAGGATAGTCCATGTGTAGGAGTGGAGCGCGCTGGAGAGACAATGGAAGTATTTCTTCACACAATGCCCAGTCAACCTGTGGAACTCCTTGCCAGAGGATGGTGTGAAGGCCAAGACTATAACAGGGTTCAAAAAAGAACTAGATAAGATCATGGAGGATAGGTCCATCAATGGCTACTAGCTAGGATGGGCAGGGATGGTGTCCCTAGCCTCTGTTTGTCAGAAGCTGGGAATGGGAGACAGGGAATGGATCACTTATAGTGACTATGATCCGAACATGGTAACGTGATGGGGCTGCAACTTGGGATAAAGGGACTAGGTTACAAACCACCTAGGCTTTCAGTTGGCTGCTTCCCAAGGCAGAGAGATTCAGACAGGGAAACAGAGAAAGAGAGGGACTCAGGCCATGTCTTCACGAGCACTTATGTCAACGAAACTTGTCGCTCACGGGGTGTGAAAAAAACCACCCCCTCCCCAAGCGACAGACATTTGGTCGGCATAAGTGGGAGACGCTCTCCCACTGACATAGCCAGTGCCGCTCGTTGAGCTGGTTTTATTACGCCGGCGGGAGAGCTCTCTCCTGTCGGCGTAACACGGCTACACGCGTGGTCTTACAGCGGTCCAGCTGTGCCTCTGTACGCTCATAAGCATAGATGTGACAAAGTGGGAATGTTCTTAATGTTTTCTCTGAATACTGTGTGGGTGCCTCAGTTTCCCCTATGCAGTTCTTAAGTATCTAGGTGGGGGGATAAGGGGGTGTGATTGTTGCAGAGCCCGAGAGGGCCAGTGTGATGGTGTCTGCACAGAGAATGGCCGACACCCTGTCCCCTGGCAACTGATGGCCTGGGGCCCTCCCCTGAAGGGTGCCAACGGAAGGTGTTGGAGAACAAAGAGATCAGGTGGCCTCCTGGCCCAGGAAAGAGACAAAGGCCAGAGGAGGGGCTGGAGGGGGTTGCAGTTTAGAGCTGGCTGGGGACACGGGGGGAGGCCCAGAACCCAGGTCTGGCCTCCCCACCCCGCAAGAGGGACCTGACGGAGGGGTCCTGTTTTCCATACCTACAAGCTCTGCTTTGACTGTGTCCTGTCGTCTAATAAACCTTCTGTGTCACTGGCTGGCTGAGAGTCACGGGGAATTGCAGGAAGTGGGGGGTGCAGGGCCCTGACTCCCCTACACTCCGGGACAGTAGACATGGCCTAAGTTGAGGGGGCTTTGGGAAAGCTGGGCATATGCTTCCGACTACATGAACTTTGAGTGAAGTTTCGCTTTACCGGACTAACCTAATAACCCTTAAATACTGTATTCTGGTTGTCCACCTCCGCTCCACCAGCCACAGCCCCCAAGACCACCCCCTCCCACCTCACCATAACATCCCCCACAGCTCTCCCACGCTCCCCACTGACCCCGTAGATCCCACACCAACAGCCTGAGATGCTTTCTCTTTGCTGGCACTTCCCTGCGTTTTCTTTATAGTCCCTCCACCAGACCCACCCTCCCAGTTTCCTGCAGCCACGCCATCTGCTCTCGTCCTCGGCCCTTTCACCATCTTGAGATCATACTTCTTCCCGGGGTCTGCTAGCCGCCCCCCGGCCGTTCCTCACAACTGCTTTCTGTTGTCAGACGCCACCGGTGTGGTGCTCTGCTCTGTCCGATGTTGAGAACATTCGGCTGCGTGCGTGTGTGTGTTCCCTCTGTGTGCTGCCCCGGCTCTGCAGATCGCTGGCACAGCAGACCCCGAGAGAACCCCCAATGACCACAGGCTCCGATAAGGAACGAAGGCACCCGGCCATTGTCAAACGAAGCACAGTAATACTTCCCCACAGACTCTACAGGACATACTACGAATTTGTGCCCCCTGACAATGGACCTGCTCAGTCAGTGGCGGGACTCTCCACTGCCCCCTCGGCCGGACAAAGACGTCCACTCAGTGATGCATTTTTATACACTGGTACAAACAGGTTACACATCACTCCTGACGCGTTGAGGTACAGCCCCTCAACGCATTAGGGTGCTTCCTCTCCCCTGGTACAGGTTGGTTCGAACAAACAAGTCTATCCATCATATTGTCCTTTTGACCCTGTCTTTAGGATGGGTCTGCCTGTTCCTTGTTATCGCTCTGGAATGTGTTCGTACGAGGATGTTCTGGTGCCATCCTGGCACAAGTTCATCTTATTAGTGCTTATACGTGCTTTAAGCAGCCGCCTTCTTGCCAACTTCTGTGAGCAGGGCCTGCCTCTGGCTCACAGCTTAACTTTGCTTTAAGTTAGCAATGTCTTGACCGTTACTTCAGTTCAAGCCTCAGGCCTCATACCAGGCCTCTGATACAAGTAGGGTAACCAGACAGCAAGTGTGAAAAATCGGGACGGGTAATAGGACCCTATATAAGAAAAAGCCCCCAAAATCAAGACTGTCCCTGTAAAATTGGGACATCTGGTCACCTTAGATACAAGGCTTATGTTTCAGGGCCTCGTCTTACTCCACTTTCTAACGACCCTCTCGGCGAATGAGATCATGAGCTCCTTAGCTCATCAGCCCGCCCCACAGTCTGAGTGGGTAATTAAAAACTCCACTCCTTGGTCTACTTCAGGCTTCTGCGATCAGGTCACCTATTAGCGCTCCGTGTTTCGTCACTGAGAAAACACAAGGAGCAGGTGCTCGGGGGGGGGTCCCAGGAGGTGGGGAGGCCTGAGAGTGGTGGGAGGAAGAGGAGTGGGGGTCCTAGTTCTGGTTTCACCTCCGTCTGTTCCAATGTCTCTGAGTGGCCCCCCTGTCTCCCCATCACGTGCCAGGCCTCCTCCGGGAATGAAATTCTGCAAGTCTCCGGCTCCTCGACTGGCCTCTGGACTAAATACCCTGTGTATCGATTGTGCTTACCCAGACAGCTCAGGCTGAGTGCAAATACCCACGGTTCTTCCCTTCGGGTGTCCGGGATCAGTGGTGCATGGTGACAAACAGAGTAATGTTTATTCTGCAGTGGGGAAAAAAGGATAAGAGGGAAAAAAGGATTTTTAAAATAGCCATCTTCACACCTGCCTTTCTTATCCGGAGGCCTGCCATCCCCTGATGGTCAGCTAGGCAGGCCTGACTTCTTCAAACATCTCAATGGGGTCCCCCGTCTGTCTTCCCCCCCCCCAAACAATTACCTGAACTGCCTTCCCCATCCTGAAAAGGAATCACTTTTTAAACTGCTCAAGTCCTTTTTAGGGTGACCAGATGTCCCGATTTTATAGGGACAGTCCCGATTTTTGGGTTTTTTTCTTATATAGGCTCCTATTACCCCCCACCCCCGTCCCAATTTTTCACATATGCTGTCTGGTCACCGTAGTCCTTTTGATCTTCTGGGTCCCAGGCCTCTGCCCGGTTCATCAAAACCCTTTCTGTAAGCAAACTGGCGCAAGGTGGCAAAATACACTAACAGGTCAGGCATCGTCTCTTCACAGCCCTTAGGTGTTTACCAAGAGATGGCTTCCTGCTTGTTTTTTTACAACCCCCTAAACCAACATATTCATGAATGTGTTTTTCTATGGAGCAGGAGGTAGCCCTTCCCTCTGAGAAGATGTGTGTGTGTGTGTGGGGGGGGTAGTGATATCTGGAGGAGAAGACAGGGGATGGTTGAGGGACAGATGGAGAGAAACAGAGAGCCTGTGAGTAAACTGAGAGAAACAGGGAGAGGGAAGAAGGCCAGCTAGAGGGAAACTGGGACAGAAAAATTCCAAGAGTAAGCGGAGAGACTGAAATGGAGCAGGACAGACAGATGTGCAGCGAAAAGTCCCTTTAGTTTAAAGCTGGCTCGTCAAGTCAGTCCATGTTTGACAGCCGTCTTCCTGAGCATCCATTCCTGTCTGTTCCTGACCGTCGGTTCCGGTTGTCTCTTATCACTGATTCGCATGGTCCCAGACAGCCGGAACAGGACTGCCAATGGGTCTGGTCTAACATTCACCCCGATGACCAAGCGTCACTGGAGTTGAGTCTATCTCTTCAGGAAGTCACAAGGGGCACTCAAAGACTGACTTGGAGGTTACACGGCACCCAGTGAGATATTTGGGGAAAAGGGGAACCTATGAGATAATCGCCTGTGCATACCGAGATAGATATATTTCTTTATTTGGAGGGTTATAGTTAAGTACACTCAGTAGTAAGTTTTATAGGGTGTATTATATGTATATATGTACCTTTTTTTATTATATATATTCATCTATTTAATGTAATTGTAGAATCAAGTTCCATTTATTCTAGTTTCGATAAAATCCCCATTATGTTGTTTTGGACAATGAGTTGTATTATTTCAGCTACCCTTAAATAACCTTTTATCCCTGTGTAACACATCCCCGCCAGAAAAATGACACCACCGCTGTGCTGAAACGTTACTAAATCTTGGCTGGAGGCTTGGAGAGGGGGTGATTGGTCCTGCTTTGAGCAGGGGGTTGGACTAGATGACCTCCTGAGGTCCCTTCCAATGCTGATCTTCTATGATTCTAAGGTCAGGCTTGACAAAGCCCTGGCTGGGATGATTTAGTTGGGGATTGGTCTTGCTTTGAGCAGGGGGTTGGACTAGATGACCTCCTGAGGTCCCTTCCAACCCTGATACTCTGAGTCTATGACCCTTGGATATATTTTAAATTACAACCCGATAACCCTACTCGGAGAGCTCTGTTTACATTGACATGCCTAGTTTAAATACCCGTTAGTCACAGACTTCAAAGCGCAAATGTTGCGAGTATGTATAATTTCACTATAGTACGTATAGTTTGCAATACTATTATTGGTTAGTGCGTTGGTCATTTTCAAATGATACCCCACAAGGCATATTGTCTGCCAAAAAAATCATGGCAGTCGTGTGTAGGATGTGAAGAGCCGGGTGCTTAGCGTCATCCTCTCCCCTTTTCCATTCCTGTTTCTGAGGTTTCTCTCTCTGTCCCAGCAGGTGATGGGATGGTGAGTGAGAATGAGGAGCAGAACCCTCAGCAGGAAGACGCTGAGCACGTGGAAGCATACGGGGCATTATCGCAAAGATCTGAAGGGAATGTGTCCATGAGTTGTAGGCAGGGAAAAGATTGTGAGACTCAGCACAGGCCAGAAAGGGAGCAGGGAACTGAGCCAAGGGAGAAAGAGGGTAATTGTCAGGGAAGTCACAAGGAAACCACAGCCCAGCAGAGCATCCCCACAAGTGAGAGAGACCACACACGCCCTGAGTGGGGAGAAAACGTCTGTAGCCCTTCGGCTCTTCTTCAACACGAGAGAATCCGCGCCGGAGAGCCACCCCACCAATGCAGTGAGTGCGGGAAAACCTTCCATCGGAACGCGCACCTGATTCGCCATCAGAGAGTGCACACGGGAAACCGACCCTTTAAATGCTTGGAATGTGGGAAAAGCTTCAGCGTGAGCTCCAACCTGATCGCCCACCAGACCATCCACACGGGCAATCGGCCCTTTTCATGCTCAGAATGCGGGAAAAGCTTCAACAGACGCTCAAACCTTATTACGCACTGGAGAATTCACATGGGAAAGAAGCCCTTTACCTGCTCGGAATGTGGGAAAAGCTTCACGGACAGCTCCAACCTTATCAGGCACCAGAGAACCCACACTGGGGAGAGACCCTATGAATGCTGTGAGTGCGGGAAAAGCTTCACTGACAGCTCTGATCTTATCAGGCACCAACGAACCCACACGGGGGAGCGACCCTATGAATGCTGCGAGTGCGGGAAAAGCTTCAGTCGGAGCTCCACCCTCATTCGGCATCAGAGGATCCACACGGGAGAGACGCCCTATAAGTGCTGCGAATGCGGGAAAAGCTTCAGCGTGAGCTCAAACCTTATTACACATTGGCGAATTCACACGGGGCATCGACCCTTTACCTGTTCCGACTGTGGGAAAAGTTTCACTGACAGTTCCAACCTTACTCAGCATCAGAGAATACACATGGGAGAGAACCCCTATAGATGCGCCGAGTGCGGGAAAAGCTTCACTCAGAGCTCGGCCCTTATTGCGCATCAGAGGATCCACACGGGAGAGCGCCCCTACGAATGCTGCGAGTGCGGGAAAACCTTCAGTGTGAGCTCAGCCCTTGTCGCGCATCAGAGACTCCACACGGGGGAGAGACCCTATAAATGCTCAGAGTGCGGGAAAAGCTTCAGCGTGAGCTCAACCCTCATCATACATCAGAGAATCCACACAGGGGAAAGGCCCTATCGATGCTCGGAGTGTGGGAAAAGCTTTAATCAGAGCTCACACCTGGTTAGACACCAGAGTCTCCACAGGGGAGATAAGCACCATAAAAACCTTGTCTAAGGCTGTCCAAAAAAAAAAGTTTTTTAATACTTTTCTAATTCCCACATAGTGACCTTTAAGGCTCTTTGCAGTGTTTGCATCACTGTGGTCCCGCAGCTCCCCCCAGAAGCACACTGTTGGAGTGAATCCCTTGGTCCTTTCTATCCGCTCCTTCGTCCTGAGTCATGAGAATGTATTTCCCTCCTACTGGGAATGTCCATCAGCCCCAGGTAGGGGAGATGGGATGCCATCATCTTATAGAATCATAGAATATTAGGATTGGAAGAGACCTCAGGAGAAATTGGAGAGGGTCCAGAGAAGAGCAACAAGAATGATTAAAGGTCTTGAGAACATGACCTATGAAGGAAGGCTGAAAGAATTGGGTTTGTTTAGTTTGGAAAAGAGAAGACTGAGAGGGGACATGATAGCAGTTTTCAGGTATCTAAAAGGGTGTCATAAGGAGGAGGGAGAAAACTTGTTCATCTTAGCCCCTAAGGATAGAACAAGAAGCAATGGGCTTAAACTGCAGCAAGGGAGGTTTAGGTTGGACATTAGGAAAAAGTTCCTAACTGTCAGGGTGGTTAAACATTGGAATAAACTGCCTAGGGAGGTTGTGGAATCTCCATCTCTGGAGATATTAAGAGTAGGTTAGATAAATGTCTATCAAGGATGGTCTAGACAGTATTTGGTCCTGCCATGAGAGCAGGGGACTGGACTCGATGATCTCTCGTGGTCCCTTCTAGTCCTAGAATCTATGAATCTAGTCCAACCCCCTGCTCAAAGCAGGACCAACCCCAACTAAATCATTCCAGCCAGGGCTTTGTCAAGCCTGACCTTAAAAACCTCTAAGGAAGGAGATTCCACCACCTCCCTAGGGAACCCATTCCAGTGCTTCACCACCCTCCTAGTGAAATAGTGTTTCCTAATATCCAACCCCGAGCTCCCCCACTGCAACTTTGCTTGCTACATTGAAGTAAAATCTACCTGGGCCTTGGCTCCTCTGGGATTTTCCCAGGGGTTAGCTAGCTTGAGGTAGCTATCCTCATGTAAAAAAAACAACTATATTTGCAGTGCTGACGTAGGCCGGGTATAATGGTCAGGATTAACTAAGATATTTCCCCTTGACCTGTCCTAATCTACACCACCTTCTAGTCTAGACAAAACTCCGAGCATCACATTTCGACTTTTACTCCCATTAGCAGAGCAGTTGGTAGAGTCACCGAGTTCCCCCTTTGGTGACCGATTGTCTCATTCCTGGTTGCCCTGGGTTGTATTGAACAGCACCTCTTGTTCCTACCATTTTTCTCATTTAAAAATATACTTAAATATAACAAAGATCTGGAGCAGAGTGAGGATTAAAGTGTCATTTCAGCTGCCGTGGCACCAGAAGGGTATAGGGTGTGCTTGATGGATTCCCTCCTCTTCCATTACCATTCAATCCCCCCTCAACCCAGCAGAGTTAGCTTCTGTGTAAACCACAATGGAGCGTAACCTCCCCACATTTTACCCTTCCACCTCCCAAAGAGTCACGTGACGCAGTCTTCTCGGCTCTCCGTGCTGAGGAATCACAATTCGATCTTAAACCAGACTCACTAGGGCTGGAGATGAAAGTGTCAGAGACCCGGAGGGGGGACTTGAATGGATCACAAAACCACAGAGTGATGGGTTTTCATCCCTCTATCTCTTGGCAAAGCTTTTTCCAGATGAGAAGACTGGATGTTCTAGTGTCCTCGAAACAGGGAAAACGTTTTGTAAATAACTTGACTCAGTAATAATGAAGTGGTACTGCCTGAAGCAGGTTTGAATGGATGAGAGAAGAGTGCAGTGCGGGAATCTGTTCTCCTGATTTTTGAGTTCGCAGCTGTAACCTGCTTTGGAATTTCATTTGACATGAAACTGAAAGTGTCTGTGATGTGGATTTTTCTCTCTTGCTTGAAGCCCAGTCAGTCGCATAACTGGATGTTAGTTTTGGTTGCCAGGATGTAGCTCAGATTTGGGGACTTTGAGACAAAGAACCATGTGCTAAAATGGTCATTTCTTAGTTTATTTTTGCTTTTCCCTGCTCCTTCACAATGACATGGAGGAAGCTCACATGCAATTTCAGTCCACCGTTCAAGATAATTGAGTCCCACAATTGGGCTGCTCCATCAATAGAGAACTAAAGGAGTGTACTGTCATTACCGCCAATCAGCGTGAGTTTATGGAAAATAGATCCTGTCAAACTAACTTGATAACTTTTTTGTTGAGGTTACAGGTTTGGTTGATGAAGATAATAATATTGATATAAAATACGTAACCTCGATAGGGCATTTGACTTGACACCACAAGATATTTTAATTAAAAAACTAGAATGCTATAATATGAACATGGCACTGTAACGATGCTGGTTCTGGCAGGACCCAACTGAGAGTGCCAATTCAGGACAAATTGCTTAGAGCAGGGCAGTTACAGCCCTAGGCTGGGTTCCTTTGCACACCAAGGCAAACCAAACCAGCCAAACAGAAGACTTTGGTTTTACCCCACTGGCTAACCACAAGTCACACAAGCAATTCCCTTAGACACTCCAGTTTCCCAGTATCCCCACCAGTGCCACTCGTTATGGGGACAAATGGTTATGAAAACCAATACCCCAGTAAAAGAAAAAAGGTTCTCTCGATCCCAAAGGACTAAGCCCCAGGCCCAGGTCAAGATACAAGTTAGATCTCATCCACAAATCACGCTGTTGCCAATTCTTTAGAATCTAAAATCTAAAGGTTTATTTATAATAGGAAAAAGATCTAGACGAGAGCTAGAATTCGTTAAATTGAATCAATTACATACAGTAATGGCAAAGTTCTTCGTTCAGGCTTGTAGCAGTGGTGGAATAAACTTCAGTTTCAAATCAAGTCTCTGGAACATCCACAGCTGGGATGGGTCATCAGTCCTTTGTTCAGAGCTTCAGTTTATAGCAAAGTCCCTCCAGAGGTAAGAAGCAGGACTGAAGACAAGATGGAGATGAGGCATCAGCCTTTTATAGTCTGCTCCAGGTGTAAGGACACCTCTTTGTTCTTACTGTGGAAAATTACAGCAAAATGGAGTCTGGAGTCACATGGGCAAGTCCCTGCATACTTTGCTGAGTTACAAGGCATATCTGCCTTCTCTCAATGGGTCAACTGTATAGCTCATGGTACTTAATGGGCCATCAAGCAGGCTAGGCCGAGCAAACACCAACTTATCTGGGGGTGTCACCCAGAAGCAGAGCACAAGTTTGAAATACAGACAGGATAGAGCCAATATTCATAACTTCAACTACAAAAATGATACATGCATACAGCCAGCATAATCATAACCAGCAAATCATAACTTTTCCATAGACACCTCACACGACAACCTTTGTACAATATTTGCTGCAAATATATAACAGTGGTTGCAACAGTGATCTATATGGTTACAGATTATGTTAATAACGTCACAGGCACATATTACATGGATTAAAAACAGGCTAACAAATAGGTCCCAACATGTAATTATAAAAGGGGAATCGCCATCAATTGGGTCTGTTTCCAATGGGGCCCAACATGAGTGTGGTGTTGGCCGGACGCTAATTAACATTTTTATCAGTGAGCTGGAGGAAAACATAAAATCGTCCCTGATAAAGTTTGCAGATGACAAAGAATTGGGGGAGTGGTGAGTACAGAAAAGGACGGGTCACTGATTCAGCGCGATCTGGATCGCTTCGTAAACTGGGCCCAAGCAAACAATGTGTGTTTTAATACAGCTACATGTGACTGTATGCCTCTAGGAACAAAGAATGGAGGCCATACGTACAGAATGAGGGACTCTATCCTGGGAAGCAGTGATTCTGGAAGAGATTTGGGGGTCGTGGTGGATAATCAGCTGACCATGAGCTCCCAGTGCGATGCTGTGGCCAAAAGAGCTAATCATCAAATCGTAGGACTGGAAGGGACCTCGAGAGGTCATCTAGGCCAGTCCCCTGCACTCAAGGCAGGACTCAGTATTATCTAGCCCATCCCTGACAGGGGTTTGTCCAGCCTGCTCTTAAAAATCCCCAATGATGGAGACTCCACAACCTCCCTGGGCAATTTATTCCAGTGCTTAACCACCCTGACAGTTAGGAAGTTTTTCCTAATGTCCGACCTAAACCTCCCTTTCTGCAATTTAAGCCCATTGCTTCTTGTCCTATCCTTAGAGGTTAAGAACAACAATTTTTCTCCCTCTTCCTTGTAACAACCTTTTATGTACTTGAAAACTGTGATCATGTCCCCTCTCAGTCTTCTCTTCTCCAGAGTAAACAAACCCAATTTTTTCAATCTTCCCTCATAGGTCATGTTTTCTAGGCCTTTAATCATTTTTGTTGCTCTTCTCTGGACTTTCTCCAATTTGTCCACATCTTTCCTGAAATATGGCGCCCAGAACTGGACACACTGCTCCAGTTGAGGCCTAATCAGCGCAGAGTAGAGCGGAATAATTACTTCTCGTGTCTTGCTTACAACACTCCTGCTAATACATCCCAGAACGATGTTTGCTTTTTTTGCAACAGTGTTACACTGTTGACTCATATTTAGCTTGTGATCCACTGTGACCCCCAGATCCCTTTCCACAGTGCTCCTTCCTAGGCAGTCATTTCCCATTTTGTATGTGTGCAACTGATTGTTCCTTCCTAAGTGGGGTACTTTGGATTTGTCCTTATTGAATTTCATCCTATTGACTTCAGACCATTTCTCCAGTTTGTCCAGATCATTTTGAATTTTAATCCTATCCTCCAAAGCACTCGCACCCCCTCCCGGCTTGTTATCATCCGCAAAATGTATAATGTGAACCTGCATTGCATCAATATGGGACTCTTGAGTAGTAGGAGAGTGATTATTTTATTTATTTAGCACTGGTGAAACCACTTCTGGAATACTCTAGTGCCCACCATTCAAGAAGGATGTTGGTAAATTGGAGAGGAGTCAGAGAAGAGCCACACGAGTGATTAAAGGATTAGAAAACATGTCCTGTAGTGGTAGACTCAAGGAGTTCAATCTATTTAGGTGAACAAAGAGAAGGTTAAGGGGTGACTTGATTACAGTCCATAAGTACATCATGGGGAACAAATCTTTAATAAAGGTCTCTTCGATCCAGCCGAGAACTAACTGGATCCAGTGGCTGAGGGTTGAAGCTAAACAATGAAGAGTGTTAATAAGGTGTATGGTTTTAAATAGCGAGGGTAATTAACCATTAGAACAATGTTTTCTCTGCCATGATTTTTACCTTAAGAATAAAGTAGGTTTGCTTAGAAAGAACCGTGTGGTAACTTCTATCCATAGCACCCATG